CGCAATGTCAGCCAATTTGTGATAGTTCGAATAGAAACGTCATCAAAACACAGCACCAATGATCTTTTTTATCAGTTATTTTTGTAAATAGAAAAGTTTGAATATCTAGTTAAAGAAAAAAGTGACAAGACAGCAGATAACAGAGCTGTCATTCGAAGGCCATTCTCGTTCTGGAAAGTTGACAGTTTTAACTTCGCCCGAGAAACTGAACAGATATTATCGTTGCTCAAAGAAATGTGAAAGACAGAAGTGGCTTTTATATTGCCATAGTTCTAGTCAAAATAAATATAATGACAAAAATTTTAAGTTTGGTAGAACTGATAGAATGATAGAAGTTTGTGATGACTGTTTAAAAAGAATATAAATTTACATTTGTTCTGTAATTACTGTTACTGGTTTGTTAAAACTGATTTTGTATATATGGTACAAAAAATCTTGAACCAAAAGCTGATTAAATTAATTGTTCCCGAATAATTTTTAACAGTGAAATCATCATTATAACAATATTCGACAAATGTCAATCAAGTTTTTAATGGATCAGCACAAAAAAAAGTCTTTGCTCAATGTCACAATCGCGATTTTACCGGTCAATGGTATTTTTTTTAGTGTTTATAGATCATAGAACGACTAGAAAAAAAAACTTTAGTGTATTTTAAGTGGGTTCAAGTGATCAGAAAAAATCATTAAAAGCTATTTCTCTTCCTGTTTTTTCTTTCATTTATAAAGAATCCAGCAGAATTAGAATCTGATCAGTGATAAAATGTTATCACTTTATATTCACTCTAAAAAGGAATGGAATGACAAATTAGGATTCTGATTAGTCTACGTCACTGTATCAAATTCCGTTCAATAAATACATGGTTCAAATTACTGATTTTTTTACGATAAAGGTGAAATTAATTTTTTTGTTACGACTTATAAATGTGTTAGAAATATGAATGAAGAAAGGGTTTTCATTGTAACAGAAATAAACTAACCGAAACGCCGACAGTCAACTGCAGTGAATGTCGACGGTTGTGGCACAGGTAAGCTGAGGTTGAACTTGTTGGTACCTCTTCAGCAGGAACTATCCTTGATTCTCGAGGTCGGCATCTATGATCAGGAGTTCGATTCATAGTTGCAAATTCGCTGATCATATGGAATAAAGCGTCGCCGAACTGCATTAGGGTGTAACAGTGTTGTGCTCAGGGTTAATGGTGCACTATAGAAATACTTGTTTTGCAGTTGTACGATGGCCAAAACAGCGTTCTCCACCTTCATTAGTTTCACACGGAACGTCAATTTACAAGCTTTAATAAACATGTCAAAATGGCTTTATTTTTAATGCCGATGTTTTTTCTTTTTTTTTATTTATTTGTTTTTTTTTTTCGCATTTAGTTTTTTATATCATGACGTTAAAGATTTCTATGCATTCTTTCAGTGTTGAACTTCCCGTTCAGCCAAAAAAATGAATGCAAAAGATAATGAGATTAAGGTGTATATTGTTAAACAATTTTAAATCTAATAATCTTGAAGCTATATAAAAAAGATCGTTTTGCTAGTTTAGCTTCTACGAAATGCTGATTGGCACAGTTGTAAACTGTTAGGTAAATATAACGATGGTATTTTTGGCGCATTGAACAAACGTAGGTAACCGTTGAAATATGTGCAATTTTTAACTCTAAATTTACTATCATTTACAAACAATTTACAGTTAAACCAATCAAAAAAGTTCTTTTAACAAGTAGAACTGTATAAAGGTATTTTTACGTTAATCTTTTGAAGGGTGGCTTACATAAATACCAATAGCTGCAAGATGACCCAATTTGACCGAGTATCTTGTATTGGTTTTTTTTTTTTGAACTCATAGAGTAGACATAAGAAAACGGCGCTTTTGTTTTCTAATGTTCGCTGTACAAAAACAGCGCTAAATAAAGAAATAAAAAAAAATGAAAAAAAGAAAGAAAAGAAAAAAATTAAGAGATAAGAATCAAGTAGTCCTCAGTTGACGTAAAATTAAAATGAAACAGAAATGAACTTGAACTTAAGTTTTAAAAAATTTTTTATATCTTAAAAAATAATTTTTGTTTTATTTTTTATTTCCTTAAAAGTTTCAAATTATACGAGAAAGATGTTGCCTTTTTTGTTTTGTAATGGCAAGTAGTCAAAACATCCTGCTTCTAACCAGCTGAGAATTGACACATAAGTGTTTGATGGGAATAGAACCCGTTACTTCGAAAGGAAACATCATAACAACTGGTAGCTTTTCTGTTGTCAGCTGGCTTTCAGATTACTTTTAAAAAACTTATTTAAAAATGATAAAGTGAAAAAAAAAAAGGAAAGGTAGAAGGTAAGGGTAACATGGAAAAGGCCGAAAAAGTGTATAGATTTTTTAGAATTTAATTTAGCTAAAATTTTGGCAATTATCAAGACTAAACGTAATTTGGTAGCTGAATTCTTTTTGGCGTGTGAAGAACCGGTATTTTTATTGTGTTACATCAATAGACTTTCGTCTATTGTATGGAAAAACCAAACAAATGAATAAAAGGAAATTGAAGAATCTATAATTCTTCAAGAGGGAATCATTGCTTGAAAAAATGATTTCAAGTATCTAGTACTTGGAACTGAAAAAAATCATACCAAAATAAATAGTTTTACGGAAATGCAGATTTAAATATGTGAATAAGATTACACATATAAATTAAATTTTCCACCACTGTATTGAAAATAAGACACCTAACTTCAAGAATTAATTCATACAAAAGGGTACTACTTAAGGTCGTCATGTATTCTAATGCAGAAATGACTAAGTCAAGGTTTGTTTTTTTGAATTTAAACAAGTCAAATTTTAAAAGCTAACTTAGATGGACTTTAAAATGGCAATTCATCTTCGCTTTCTTCATGGGTTGTCTCTGACTGAGTACGACTATCATTTGTTGGCATGGTTCGGCGACAATGTTTCCTTGAGTAAGAATGACTTCATTTTTAAATTACCTTTAAAAAACAAATTGTTTGAAATTTTGGATGAATGCACATCATAAAACAATTTGATTTGCTAGCAGGTTTACTTACATCAATTTTAATAGATGATGAAACGTGATCAATTTTTTTTAAATAGAAATTCGGTAAATAAAGTACTTTTCAAACACTTACCTTATAGTTCTGCCAAACCCACTTTCCGTTAAGCAGTCACTTTTTATACCTTTTCCATGCTGAACAGCATTGAGCAAATTTTATGTTAGATAGGTTTTATGCTCACTATATGTATTTTACCCTCTACAACTTTAAAGCTAAACGATTGAGAAGTCCTGCATATTAACAATGGGTATCCGGAAGTCAATTTAACAGTCATTTTGGCACTCCGGACTTTTGAAAACAAAATCAGCTTTCAAGCTAAACTTAGAAAATAGAAGTTTTTGTGTAACAGTGACATTAGATACTTCATTGCTTATACAACAGCAAGTTAGAAAATTGTCACAGACTTGTACGAGCAAGAATGGCGTCAATAGAAATTAAAAATTCAGCATTGCAGCTCTACAAATTTTCTGACGTTCTTCTTACAACGGCAGTCACCTATACGCTGACATAAAGCTGTGAAAAGTAGTTGAGAACTGTGTATGGACAACAAATTTTGCAACCAAACTCTTGTAATGACCATTAATTCGTTGTCCTTGAAAAAGAGTGATTTTAGGTGAAAATGTCGGAATTAATAGACGAATGTTTATGTTGAGATACTTTATCACTCACTGATTTCTAACCTGAAGACTTATGAAATTTCGGCAACGATAATTACTGCGACCTTTTTTACTAACAGAAATTTTAGAAATTTTGAAGAAGGGAATATATTAACAGCCAGTACACTACAAAACATAAAGTTGACTTTACAAATTAATCACAGAAAAATTGAAAAATTGAAAAATTGAACTTTACTTTTCAAGCAACTAAAGCATTCAAGAAAACGTTTGAGAAATAACTGGTAATTCAAGCTTCTGTGACTTTTGATTGCTTGAAATAATTTGTCGTTTAATTTTGTTTAAGAATTTTATAGCCTGAACAGGAATATAAACTAAACGTTAATGACTTTCATTGACCAGGATAAATGAATCGGGAACTGAAAAACACTACTTGACCTATCTGTATTCTCACTCTTCTTATCTTTCCAAAGAAATTTTAATTATCTTTTCTCTTGGAAACTAGCGTCAAATTCCTTCGCAACGAGGAATGATTTTTTTTTTACTATGACACGAGTTTCCGTACTGTAGATTCAGTTAAACGAAGCTGCTGACTCCCGTTTTAATGAATCTTAAACTTCTCTCTTACCAAAAAAAAAAAAAAATAGATAGTAAGTGATGGTTTTATTTTCTTAAGCAATATTAATTGGGTGATAATGAGTGCAACAAAGATATTTTACGGTCTATAAAGGTCCCATCCGTTTTACCATTATTTTACAGTTGATTAAGAATTTTGTTTTGCGTTGAACCAAAATTAATTTTTTTGTGAACTCACAAATTGGCCACTTTTTCAATAATTAATTTAGTGTTCAAAAGTTGTGAAGTATTCAAATTACCGTTTTTTAACGCAGTTAAGACTTAGCTGTAGCAGAAGGATTTAATTTAGGTCACTTTTTTACAGAAAACTTGCGATCGATCGGTACTCAATTGATTAGTGCTAAACAAAGTTGACTTTGCAGCGGCTTTTAGCTGTAGGCAAAAGAAGGATTTGTTTTTGAGCTAGTTCTTCAGATCAAGAATGTTCTGAATGTAGAACTCTTTTTACAAGAAGTAAAGAGACTGAAAAACTACAGGTATGTTAAGAATAGTTTCTTATTCAACTTTCTCATTAGCTCTTAAGAGTTGTTTGGCAAATGATAATGGTATAAGGTATACAATCTGTTAAATTCCAGTTCAGGATATTTCATTTTTTGAGAGATATCCAACGAGTGCTGTTCTTTAATGCATCTGCTTCAGAAACGAACTAGAGAACAACTCTTGTTTATCGGTCACTGATCAAACAAGTTAAAAAGCGTGTTGTTTACCGTATAAAGTTACTGCAATACGTATTTCCCAGGGCAAAAGGTTTGACAGGTATTTACAGAGAATAATTGACTGTTAAATATTCTAAACAATTTCTCTTTTTGACGGTAATAGCTTTCTTGCTGATTGTTTGGACACAGATTTAGTGTAAACAGTGAAGTAAAATTGTAAACTTTAATGAGAGGCAACTTTTTTTGCAAGTGTTCAAAAAATGTCCTTTTTTTTCGTTTAGTGAAACTGAATAGTTGTTATAATATATATCAAGAGGAAATACTGTTCTCTCGTGTTTAGTAAAAATAATACATTGAAAAATAGTTGGGTGGGGAAAATTTATATACTTTGCCAGTACTAGTAAATTTTGTCCAGGGTTATCCAAGATTTCATTCCAGCGCAAGATGTTCGTTCGATCACTGTGTTTTTGACGTGTATCAATGAAAAAAGTGATGGCACCAGTTCTTCACCGACCTTCTTACTTTCTATTCTCTTTTTTTTTTTTTTTTTTTTTTTTTTT